ATAATACAATATAATAATATATTAAATAAAAGTATAAAGTCTTTATAAGTACCTATTCTTTTTTTTTATTAAAAATCATAATTGAGTCTGTGGGCAAGTTGCGTTGCGTAAATTCTAGTATTTCCATTTGGAACTTTCCCACCTTTTGTTATTACTGTTTCTTACTTTTAATGATTCCTGTTCCACTCACATCAAATGTTGTACTAGAACTTTTTTAATGTTGAAGATTGAAACGTTTTTTCTAGAGATGTAATTTTGATAAATTTAGTTTTTACAGATAATATTACAATTTACAAGTTAAAAATTTTTTTATCAAAAAAATAACAGCATAAAAACTTAACACCTGATGATTTAACTTATTTTAAATGTGCACCTATCACATCGGTTGATGTGTAGATGTTGAGTGAAGTTTTTCCAAATATAAACATTTTTTGACAGATACAAATTTATTGAATTAACAAATTTATTTATTTAATTTATTTTTTGATGTTCTATGCACTTTGAAAATATTTCAAAAACAATGATTATTCAGTGTAACGCACATTTAAGCAAGTAAAATGAAATTCATTTTAAATTAATAAAAAAAATGATAATAATTTAATTTTTCAGAATAAATCAACAATAAAAGTAGACCAAATAAAAGAAATACAAACAGAACATAGCAGATTAGATGTTTTTGAGCATATTTTTAAATTTTTCATTTTTAGGAATATAATGATGGTTTTGTACATATTTTGTACATTTTTTAAAGTATATAATGACGTTTTATCAAGCATATTTCAAATTTTTTTGCAGCATACATTTATGTTATTTGAAGTATGAACGTCCGCCCTTTACTTATAACGTATGAAAAAAGTACTTTGGTTAAATTATTGTACGCCTTTACACTATTTTTTGATCCAAAATAAGAGAACAAACTTAAATTCATCATTATAAAGTCTTAAAATTCTTCTTCTTCCTGATAATCTAAAATTTCAACAAAAAAAGTTTGCTATCTTTATTATCGTAATGTGGCTACCGCAAAATTTTCACAACAGAAACAAATTACCTCTACATAGACGCAAAACGATATGCGCGTTAGCAGCCAGCTAAGTACACGCACTCGAGACACGTGCCACGTGTGATAGGTATATATCGTGTGTCCGAGTGAAATGCAAAATAATAATTAAACGCTTATCGAACACGCGTGCGTTTGACAAATACCTAATGGGTTTTTACATGGTGGGAGGGGCGTAAGAGGGATTGTTCATGACGTTTACTCACGAACCGGCTTGTAGATTTAACGTTTACACAGAAAATCAATTATAGGAATGGGTTGCAGTAACGATAGTTTGAACACGCTCGATACCAAATGATATATAGTCAATAAATATTTAATTTCAATGGTATTTTTTTTTTTTTTAATCTGTGGCTCAAATGTGGGAACCGAAAAATGTGCTATAACTTACTCGTCTTTTAGGGAGACACTCGACGTTTTTGGTGGATAAATATATTTATCATAATATTGGGTTTTTCGTTTTGCAAAGTCGTAAATAAGTACTGGTACCGGACACCCCTAAAACTTCAGCTTAACCACTCATGTATTAACACATGAAAAAAAACATGACAAAACATTACTGCAGCGAACAGTATATACATTACATTGTATTATATAAAACCTAAATTGTTTAAAAAACCAAAAGGTATACACACCCTTTAAACACATGAACGACAACGAATGCACTGCAGAATATGTCATGGAGGGATGTATAAAGGACGACGGTTTAATATCGGAGATGAAAAATAAAAAATGGGAAAAAAATTATTATCACACAACGACAGACGTACTAAAATTATATACAATACTTGAATACGAATTTATACCTACCTAAATGTTTCTGTTACAGTACCCATAAAAGCCATCGTATCGTTGGAGTTGTCCATTTATGTCGTGGCCCGTGGGCGATCACGCAGGTCATACCGCACAGTCATAATATTATGGTATACTCGTGTGTTGTAATGAATAGGTTCTCAACGGACGAGTTCAACCAAATTCTGTTATTTTTAATTATTTATTCCCAACACAATCGAACTACATAACAATAATCTATTTAGGTAAAAGGTACATAACACTATCATGGATAAAAATAATTTTCACTTGACACAATGTGTACATTATAATATACATTTGAGTATAGACGAAGGAATTAATATAATACTGCCGTTAATCGTAAAATAATCTTTTATTTAATCTGTGGTAAAACCATTGCCATTGGCAATCGTCATCAATAGATGAAGACGAGTTACATTTTTTCAAAGAGCCTGTCATTGGCGCAACTAGGGGGGTGCAAAAGAGTCTTTAGCACCCCCAAGTTCCAATTTAGCGCCCCTTGATTTTTTAGATCTAACTATTATAATTATAATGAAGTACCATCAATTGTATGTTTTTAATAGTATAGCACAACACGTTTTAGAGGTCTAATTGCACTTATGGAGCCTGTATCTCTAGAAACAAGGTTATTGAAAAGAAATAACGAATTTTCTCTAGAATATTGGCAAAGGTTATTGTGTTAATATCTGAAAATAACGAATTGACAGAAATCAGTATTCTTTTGATTGAGATGTCATTACCTACATGGATAAAATAAAAATATATTTAATAGTTACTTCATTTCATATGCAAAATATTATATTCAATTTAAATATTTTAAATACATATTTTTTACGGTAGACATAAACTATAAACACACATAATAGGTGTTCGGTCTTAGTCATTAACATGTTTTAAGGTCAAGTATCATTCGGTGTCACTAATTCTCGGATGGGTGACCACATGGGTTTAGAGACGAATCCTAGACACATACATACGTTTTCCGAACTAATCTATACCCTTCCCCTGCATAATTATAATGACTAACCTAACCAACCCGTGCCCTCCCACAGTTAGAAATCTACTAAATAACCTAAAAAATACTGTAATTTATTATAATAATTATATAATATTTTAGACTGATAATAAAAAAACTAATTAAAAGGTAATTTTAAAAACAATCTGCAGTTTATTATTTTTTACTATTATAGTAAGTAGTATTGTTCACCATGCCGTTATTTAGAGGCTGTTACTGACACATTTGTTTTCCTTTACCGTCTTACACATTATGTACGATTTAATATTATGTAAGGTCTCACACACAAGGCATTAAAGTACCTTAGTACCCATGCCACATTAAAGAATATACAGCAGGAGGTAGATTTTAAAACAAAGCCATTTACTACCCTTATATCCTTTCCGAATAATAAATGTTTTTTCTTAGATCTCTTCCAAAACAGTGGCACTTAATTTTATTCGATTTTCAGTTTTTCACTCATAACAAAAAAAAGAGAAAAAAGGAAAGCCGTTCCTACTGTATAGTAGGTGTAAGGTGTGCTTTATAGCTCGTCATTAAGTAGGCCACTGTAAAGCATATGTGTTGAATTTTTATTCAATACAAATCGTTGGGTACGATGAAAAACGATTGCAAGTGGAGATGGTCTGTTATATTTTATAAATTTGAAATTGTATGGAAATAATAATGTAGATAGGTACATACATAATTTCAAAAATTTAACTTTACAAATTATATTTTGAATTACAATAAAATAACTAAATTTTTATTTTTTATTTAAACATCGAGCCTGAGCTCTATACTTACAGTCAAGAAGTATTTTATGGAAGCAGAAAAGGATATTCTATTCTACTAAACAGAATACATGACTTATCGAAATTTTCAGAAAATGTGAAGTTATTCTATTAAGACTCGGAATCGGACATACTCAAATCTTACAGGCAAATAGGAACTCCAAATATACGCAGTATGATATTATGTCCAAGTCACCATCAACTACATTCACACTGAACGCTGAATATACCACAACATCAGAATTAGTCACAAACTGTATCCACTTCATCACAGCTGCCAATCTTCAAACAAAAATTTAAAATTAATATTTTGAATAAATACACATAATAATATGTTATCGATTTAAATTATTTGTAAAAACAATGACCCGTGTCGCCCATGGTGTTGTATAAACAAAAATAAAAGTATTTTATTTTTAAATACATTTGAATTTAACTTTTAAATTATTTTTAATGCAAAATAAATACATTAGGTATTCATTTTACGATCAGCTATTTAAATTTAGTTTTGTGATCTTCAGTAATATTAGTCCGTAGTAGGTTTTGTGTTGTAAAAGATATAGAACAATATATCAAAATACTTATACAACAATTTTTGTCCCTATTCAAGTGCCAAACAATTAGACATTATAAGATGTATATAAGTTAGTTATCGAGTAGAATTAACTTACATAGTATTCCCTATTGACATTAGTGTATTGCAGGGGATGATCATAAATCATCATAATGGGACAATAAATCCTTGGAATCATTATTAATAAAACAAATTGTATTTCTAGTATAATATCTGGTATTAATTCGAAAATTTAATCATTGCAACAAATAAGGGCGGAAGAAAATCTAAAGAGTTATTTACTAATGTTACACAGTTATGTGGACGTAGCTAGGTATACATCACTTCTATACATACTTAAGCAGTGTATTTTTTTTTTACAAATATTAGTAGACACTATTTACGTTTATAAAAAGTTTACTTCTACTCGACACAGCAAAACAAACAAAAAAAACCAAAAAAAATATTAATAATAATAACGCATGAGCAGCGGCACGAGCCTCCTCTCCCTTTCACCTTTGCCGAAAAAAATCGACATTCCGCTGACGACTGCAGTCCGATTTCTTCACCCACACTGAATTATATATTATATAATATGTTGTAGTCCCGGCGGTCCCTGCTGATTGGTCTCGCTTGTCGCATAGGCATATAATATTGTCATATATGCGCTTGACGGGCGATTAGCGCGAACGCCTGACGCGCTCTCTTCGGGATAAAGGGTCGTCCCACCGACGCCGCCGCCACCGCCGCGCCGTCGTCGTCGGGACTGTCGGCTGTCGAACCCGCGGCGGTGTTTCGCGCACACGTGTTCAGTCGGCCGTCCGCGGAGCATCAACGACGTGCGCGTTCCTCTCGCAGCCGGACACGCCACACGCGCCGGTCAAGTCGTACGGCGGCACGGTCGAGCGCGCGCGCGCGCGCGAAGACTATCGCTGCACTCGCACCCGCGAGAGACTCGCACCCACGTCGGTCACCGCTGTTGTGGTTCGCGAGCACCCACGCGATACACACTCCGGTCCAGTCCCGTTCCGGATAGACGGCCGCTGCGTTTTTGGGCGGCAAATTTTTCTATCAAATTCGACCCCCCCCCCTCACCACCGATCCATCACCCCCAGAACCCTTTCCGTTTGCGTTTTCCACCACACAGCCGAGTTGCCGCGTGCGCCCCTCCCCCTCCAGATCGTTTGTCTTCCGCCGTTCCCGATGGGTTAATCGCGGCGAATGACCACTGTCACCGCCGCCGTCATCGACAAAATTACGATCGTTGCCATCGCACCAAACACGTGAGTATACTAATATTATTGAGTATCCTCATAGTATTTTTTATTATTATTATTATTTATTACCTACCTATATGGCCACTAGACGGCCAACGCTAGTTGGATTTTAATATTATACACTTCTCAATATATGCGAATTCAAATTACTTGTGTAAAAGATTTGTATGTTTGCGGTAAACTAACGCTTGCAAAATACGACCAGATAGTAGGAGTAAGTATGGCAAGTAGCAACGTACATCGATAAATGACGTTTTGACTAATAAATACTCAAGATAATTAAGTTGCAATTGAATGGTTTATTGATCATATCGATCGATAGTGCATTACAATATTGTATTGCCTATATATATAGTGTGAAATAAAAATTCACTCAACCCCAAATTAACAATGACATAAACTGAAAATAAAATAATTTGCTATGTACAATAACAGTTAACTATTTTAATATTTGTTTTAGAACACAATAATATCGTTAAATACGGATGATGAAATTTCCGTATAATATATTTTCCTAGAGATATGAACAACGTTTAATAATTTATATCTGTCGGACTCAATGTTTATGTAAATTGTACGAAAAAATAAACGAATCAAATGTATTTCATTTATTTTCTCTATTTATATTTCTAATTGAAGCAAGAACCTAACTCGTTTTTGTTTAATTTATCACAGAAAAATTGATTATACTCCATTTGATTTTGTTTGGATATTTTTCTGTCGTTTGGTGCGTAGATACTAGATACTAATATTATAATGGATATTTATAAAAGGCTCAAGCATACTTTATAATGTACTTAACTTTAGAAATATTTAAATATATGTATTTGTATATGGATGTAATAATTATTAAGTAATCTGCAATATGCAAATATGTGCACTCTAATATCAATTTTATTATCAGTATTTGTAGTACTTATTGATATTTTATCCAATGTATACACGCCATTTTTCGTCAGTCATCATTTTTAAATATTTAAGTTATTCAAAATAATATCAAAAGTGGTAAATTCCAGAGAGTCAAAGTCACTTTTACACAACTCATTTAAATTAATAAGGAAACTCAACTTATAAACAAATGAGTGTTTTTGGAAACTTTAAGTATACTTAATGTATACATGTACGCTGTATACCACCTGTTTGAGACATAACGCAGACTTAAATATCAGCTCTGTTTTCTTTGAGTGAAAACAATAGTATTCAATAAATGTTTTAAAATATAAATGAAATAATTTTTCAAATACGGTTTTAATTGACGTCTTAAGTACAGCTTAATACACTTAATAAGGTTGGTTCCTTGTTTTTCAAGTACTTTTTGTAATAACTACAACTAAATGTACTGAAAATCTAACCTTAAAAATATTAATACTAATCGTTTGATGACATAAACTAAAAAAACTTTCAACAGTTCGAGATTTAATATATTATACTAGAATATAAGTTATTTTAAAAATAACATAATTATGTATACTATACCTACTTATTTATTAGACTGCACAATGTTGACATGTTAATTTAATATTATTGCATATTTAATGTATAAAAAAAATGAGTTGTAATTAGCGTGTTATAATTTTTCTATACTGGGAAACTCGATATTCAAATAGTAACGCACCACAATGAAAGGGTCTATAAATTTGTATTTGCTGAAATGTAATTTTCAATAAATTAATCTTCTATGTTTAGAATTTTGATTTTCAATACGAAGGTACACTAGACAGAAAAATAATGTTTCACGAAAACTTTTGTTTTTCATTCTGCTTCAGTTGGAATTTACTTAGCCAATTCATGGTAATTGTTAAAATAAAATTATAAAATTCAATTAAAATTAATTTTCTGCAAATATTTTAAAATTTCATTTTTTCTTTGTACTTATTACAATTTAAGTAGTTTGATGAATATTAAGTTAATAATTCAGAAAAATATCTGTTTAAAATACCATGTAAAAACTTTTGAATAAAAAAAATGTTTTTTTTTATAATTGTATTATTCATAGAAACCAAATATTTTAAAAATTACTTAACCTATTGCTATGCGCTGGTGTCCTGCTATTTAATTAATAATGATTAGTGCGTTTACCTTAAATTACAACACAACCATCAACCACGAGGATGTAGGACAAGTATTTATAACAATTCTTCGAATACCGACACATATACGATTTACACATTAAAATACAGAGTAACTGAGTTTATAAAAGTAATTAACCGTATGAGAAAACAGTTCTACGAAATAAGACAAAATTTAAACAAACCGGGAAGGGTACACAAGTTTCGGTTATGGTAACCAAGCCAGAATATTGTTAGTGCATGTGAATGGATAAGGATAAATATGACGAAAACTGTTCATACAAATCATTTAATAAATATATAATATAGATGATGTAGGTACATTCAATTAATCTCAAATATATTGTCCATATTATATTTAATTAAAATTATTTATATTTAATTTTTTTTCTGTAATTAAATGATGATTACTATTATATTATATTATCTCATGTTTGTCGTAACTACAAATGTATTAATAACTATAATAATGATTTTAATACGACTTATGTGGAAACACTAGAAACAGTAAAATGAAATTTTTATTAGTCTCTAAGGGTGAAAATCATATTATTGTGTGTACTTGTCTACCAGGCCATGACCCAATATGTTAACTACATTTAAATTAATGAGGTTTGTTTAATTGTATGAAATGATTAATATCATATGTGGTAGCATGTGCAGCATTTAGGCAATATGATCTTGCATCAGATAATTTGTATATTGCACTTACATTTTTCCATTTATTATAATATGATACTTTTACTTTTGCTACGTTCAATCAATTTATACACGTTTGAATAAAATTCTTTACGGGAGGAAATATTACTACGATAAATAAATAAGATAAAAGTACCCACAAAAAAAACCCAAGGGATTCCTGGAAGTATACGACTTTGGGGTCAAGGAATGTCTGCCAATTTCCATATTCAACCTTGTCGAATGGCTAAACTGCCAAGTTTAAGTCATTCTTCTACAATCACTAGCATGCTTTAAATTATTCATGTTAGGTGGTACTTGTTGCACATTTAACGATTCAAAACTGGGTCAAGCTATAGTTTGGTATTTTATAGGAATTGAAATGACGATAAAAAAAAGTTGAATAACACAAAATATTTTGATTTTACTGACGATAATAATATTTAAAAATGTATTAAACACATACTACAATTGAATTTCAATGGTGTTATTAACGTTTTTGATAATTATTTTTTTTCATGATTATTGTGAGGTTCATTCGTGCACGCAGCTTGTTTAAGAAAAACAATATATTTTAGTATATTATGCTTCACAGTTGTTAAAATAATCAAAAATACTAAAGGCATAACCAATTTATCACTGAAAATGAAAATACAACACCACACAGACTGTACATAAATCATAATAACTGGACTAGAATTATAAATAACACTGTTATGCTTCTTGTATCACAGTGATTGAATGTAGATAATTATTGTTATAATATGCATGCCTATCAATTATAATAAGTATAATCTATTAAACTAGTTTGCTACGCAAATTCTTAATTTAATTTAATTTAATTAATAACTACCAACGAAAACGTGTGTACACAGCTATTAATGTTTATACGATATAACTTAATAACTCTTCCCAAAAATTAGATCATCATAAGATTATTAATTTGTTTATTAAACGGTTCTTCTTTTTGGTTAGTACTTATAACTTATAAGGTATGATTAAAATACCTCTCAAAGTTAATTTTCTACGATACCTAGGGAAATAACGAAATATTTATTTGAATGAATGGGTTGAATGTTATATTGAATTGCTTGGCTTATTCTATAGAATCAAAATATTAACACGTTGAATTTAAATGATGTTTAAAGAGATGGTGGGGGAGGAGGGTTTGTGTAGCATATGTTTTACTCCGTAATTATTATGAAATGGATATTTTATTTAGGTTATTGATAAATCCACAAATTAAATAACTAATTTAAAAAGTATTAAAGTTATAAAACGTAATATATTCATAATATATTTTTTATAAATATTTTAATATTACAATAAATTTAAAATATATCCGTACATCTTATAACTCAATTATTAACTAATCATCTTTTTATTTTGAAGTAATGACTATTATAATTTTAAAATATAAAATATATAATGTGTATTTTATACTTTGTTTAATACATTAAAATTTTAAAAGTAAGTAAAACAGTCTACTACGTATAATCAATATAAGATATATAGGTAAAATAAATTACGTTTTTCATACTTCCATCACTCTCAAAAGTTAGTATTGGATTGCCATAAATTAAGATTTCATAAAAATAAAAGCTATAGTGGAAGACATTGATTTTTAATTTAAGTATTATTTTTCTTCATCGTTTATCTGTTTAAACACTGTGAAGTTCTGTCTAATTAAAAAGTAAAATAACTGTATTTACTTTTCCATCTAGCGAATTCAAAATATGTTGACATTGTTCATAAAGGAAAGTTTAATAATATATAAATCTGTATAAATTATTTATTAAAATCTTTGTTACATTATTATTACTGAAAAATATTCACTCTTACTTGTAAACTCAGTTATTTTAGTCGTGATGAATTTTAACAAAATAAAAGAGCTCAACGTTTTTACTCGTACATTGTATTGTTTTAATTATTTATTAAATCAAAAATCTATTCTAATTGTATCTCAAATAAGATTAAATATGACAAAATATGATAGTATTTTCACCATTTAAACAATACATTTCAATTTGAACTAAAACTATAACGTTACCAGAACAACATACTATTTAAGTAATTCTGTAGGAATTATTGTATTAAGGGCGTATAATAAAATTTATTGGTACGATTTCGCATTTAAAATATGTATATACTCTTAAAACCAATGATATTTAATGAAATTACATTTTTAAATCTATAATATTCATGTATAATAAATTTATACGGGATTTAAATTGCCTTATTCAAAATATGATAAACATA